GAGTACGCCGTCGTCGAGGAAGATGCAGCCGCACGCCAGGCCGAAGACCGCGCAGAAAAGGACCTCGACACCGTCCACCTCTTGCGTTCTCGTCGCAAGCTCCAAGCCACCGTCGAGTTCCTCCTTCCCTCCTCAGAAGGCTGGGATGTCAGGGTCCAAGGCAAAGGCCAGACATTACCGCCCGCTGCTGCAGATGCAGACGCTTCCGCCGAGGATGGTCCATTGTGGCGTGCAACTGCAGAGAGGGCATCGGGCTCCCGCTTCACTCTCCTCTCCATCCGCCACAAGACGCTCGACAGCCCCGAACAGTTAGCCAGAATCACCGTCAGGATCCAACGCGTGGCAGCAAGCACCGAGCTCCGACTCAATGATGCGCCCTTGAATGTCGAGCATGTCGAGCCACGCACCGCAGCAGCTCTGGCACAGCCTCTCCTCGAGGACACCGCGAGCATCTCGGAGATCAGCGTCGCCACCACCTCTACCGGCAGCGCCGCCTCTTTCAACGTCGGCACCGCTGCAAACGCCTCGCGCTCCGGAACACCCAACCTCGGCTCGGCGCACCAGATCAACAATCAGATCCGCCGCAACTACATCTACTTCACAAGCCTGCTCCAGGAGCCAGAGGCAAAGTGGAAGCCCGTCAGCGACATGAAGGGCGTCACCGTCACCCAGCTCGACTCGATCGACCCCACCCTTGTCGTCTACCGCGCAGAGGCCACCTTTGTGGGCGTTAGCGTGTGGGACCTCTTTTCCACCATCGGAAATGCAGGCGCGCGCGCCTACTGGGACAAGGCGCTCGACGACGCCGTGCTTCTCACCGACATCAACGAGCTCAGCTCGCTCTGGCATACAAAGACAAAGCCCAGCTGGCCCGTCAGCGCCCGCGACACCGTCGTGATCCAGACCGCCTACAAATCTCCCACATCCGTGCACATCTTCTCTTTCTCCACCGACGATCGCGCACAGCTACCCGCCATCCCACCCGTCGAGTCCGGCACCATCCGCACCCAGATCGACCTGCGCGGCTGGTCTGTCGAGGCGCTCTCACCCACCACCGTCCACGTCACCATGCTCGAGCAGTCCGACCCCAAGGGCTGGACCAGCAAGTCGGCCACGCCCGCCGCCATGATCAGCGCCGTAGCCGGCGTGGGCGAATATGCCATCAAGTTCGGCAGCCCTCCCGTCCTGACGCGCCTGCTTGGCGCAAAGGCAAAGGTGTCTCGCTACGACCACGAGAAGGCCACCTTCCGCGTCGAGTACGCGTGCGATGTGCCCCTCGACGACGATCTCGGCGATGCGCCCAACGTCGAGTGCGAGATCCGATGCGACGTCGAGACGTGGGCCACCTCGCTCGATCTGGTCGTCGACCCGCCGCCCATCTCCATCTCGTGCCTCCGAAGGCACAAGCTGTCCCAAGGCGGCGGCGGGCTCTGGCTCACCATTGAGCATGCCGTTGCGTCGCTCGAGGACGATTCGGCTCGCATCATCATCCGCCGCGGCACCTCGCGCGACAAGGGCGCCGTCCACGTAAACGGAGCAAGCATCAAGGTGGACGTCGACGAGCTCAACGACGAGCAGGTGCAGCAGCTTAGCCGCCAGAAGCGATCTAAACCGCAGCGGGTCCCTCTCGACCTGATCAATCCGGCGCGTAAACCGACCGAAGATGCAGCCGCCGTCACGACCAAGACTGGCGGCACAGATTCAAGCGCAGCCGGCAGCGTTGAATCGTCCAAAGAGCAAGGGGCTCGACAAAGCGCAGAAAACGGGAACGACGAGCGCCAGCTTTCCGATGGCACATCCACAAGCGCAGCGGCTGGTGTGGGTGCGGGCGCAGCCACCGAGGCAAAGAAGCGCGAGCGAGGCGACTCGACCGGCCAACCTGCCGCTGCGGTGCCGTTTTCGGACGAGACGCCGCGCCAGCCCATGACGTGCGCTCTGGACGTGCTCTTCCTGCTTCGCCGAATCCATGCGGAGCGCTCGCCCGACCCGGCCGGCACGCCTGCCGGATGGGCGCTGGTGACCGAGCGCAACGGCCTGTACGTGCGCAGGAAGCTCATGGAGTCCATCTCGAGCACTGTGCTCGTGCAGCGCGGCGACAAGGTCGTCCAGGGACTTTCTGCCGAGGATCTGCTCGACGTCGTCGCCAACTTGCGCAGCCGGAAGCAGTGGGACGACAAGATCGAATCCACCACCTTGCTCGAAAGCTACGGCGACGGTTCTTTCACCTCGTTCATCACGACCAAGGCGAGCTTTCCGTTCCGCGGCCGCGCGTTCCACCTGGCGAGTCTGACTGCGCGTGGCGCGCCGCCGTCGAGCAACGGTGCGACCAGCCCGGGCGAGGCGCCGCTGTCGAGCTCGGCATCGTCGTGGTCGGGACCGGCTGTCTACTTCCATGCTTCGGCCTCGTTCCCGCAGCAGAACTTCGGATTCGCACCGGACCGCCTCAACCCCAACGGGCTGCCGTTCGGCAAGGTGCTCATCGACGGCTGGATTCTCGAGACGCTCGATCCGTACAGCTCGACGAGCTTCCAGATTCCATCGACGCGCTGCACGCACGTGGTGGCAGTCGACTATGCGGGCAGCCTGCCTGTTGCGGTCAACACCATGTGGAACGCCAACCTGCCACGCTCCGTGCTGCTGGTCGAGGACTACCTCAAGGCGCGCGGCTCGATCCCGTCGGTCAAGACGCCGCCGGCGTGTCTGCAGGTGCTCGGCGATGGTCGCGATGAGGACCAGGGCTTCGTGTGGTCGCTTAAGGATCCTCAGCGCAAGAATCTGCTGGTCTCGTCGAGCTTTGATCCGACGACGCGCATGTACGTTGCGGTGAGCATGCACCGCCCCAGCCCCGCCTCTGCAGCCGAGGAGGTGCCGGGCCTGCTGCCTGCCGCGTCGATTGTGAGCAACGGCAAGCCGCGGCCGCGGTCGTCGGACGCCTCGGTGACCAAGGGCGTGGCCGAGAAGCTCACGCAGGCTATCAACGCGGCGCCGGGCACGCCGCTGCTCGGCTCGGCTGCGCCGCCGGTCAATTCGAGTGCCGATCAGGACTCGAGCCTGTCGCGTGCCACGAGCATGCATTCGATCACGAGCGCGTCGGCGGCCAGTACGGCGTCGACCATCCGCCGCCGCCCGAGCTCCATCCACACCGACTCGCGCAACGCCAAGGACCTCATCCTCATGGAGGTCGAGATCGAGCTGCGCCACTATCACAAGGGATACGACGTGCAGTGCTTCTCCGAATTCGCGCCGCTGGACGCATCCGTCTCGGACTCGGCCACGGCTGCCTTGCCGAAGCAGGATCGGTCTGCTGCTGGTGGCGAGACGGCCGCGTCGGAGCACGACAAAGCCCCCGCCACCGCAAGCCGAGGCGCAGAGACAGGCAAGCCGAAGCCACCGTTCTCGCTCAGGATGGCGCCCGAAAAGTCAAACGACCTGCCGGTGCAGCTTAAAGTGTACGACCTCCCACCGAGTGCCGTGCTGGCAGCGACGCTCGATCCGTCGGCGCGGCCGCGCAAGCACCTGGTGCGCGTCACTGTACCGACGACGTCGTTCCTCGACCCGGTCGAAGACCCGCTGACAGGCTCCAAGCCCCCGGACACGCCGGCGTGGTACACGAGCCTGCTGGAGCGCGGCGCCGTGCTGCGGCTGGTAGTCAAACCGCTCAAGAGCGAGGGTGCTGAAGCCGACCCCGCGGGCGCGCCGCGCGATGCCAATGGCACACTGGTCTTCGCCACGCCCTCGGGCAAAGTGGCGGTGCGCAGCGGCGACGTGAAGCTCGACATTGTCCACGTCAACCAGACCTCGGCGATGCTGCAGCGCGAGCAGATTGGCATCGAGCCCATGACGCAGCTCAAGCGCGTCGCGCCGGCGCGCCCGCGCTCGGCGCGCAAATCGGGGCTCGAGGGTGCGGCGGCCACCAAGGACGACGGACGGCTGCCCGAGGCGCTGCGTCGCCCAGTGGCGCAGCGGACGGATCTGTTGCAGCCGCCCACTGCGGCGCAGGCGGATGCGGGCAAGGACGATGCCAAGGGTGCCAAGGCGAGTGCGGCTGGTGGTGCCGACAAGGCCGCTCGGCCGGCAGCGGGCGTGGAGAAGAGCGGCAAGGCAGGGTCGCTGGCGCCTTCATCGGCGGCGGGATCGGCCAACGGCTCGGCTGCAGGGTCAGCGCCGCCTTCGCGCGCCGCAACGCCATCGGCGCCCACGAGCGCCGGCGCGCAGATCATGAGCATGTTCGGCTCGTATCCGCTCTCGCGCCTCGGCACGGGCAGTGCATTGGCGTCGTCACTCACGTCGGTCTCGTCCGTAACAGCGCGTGGCAGCAGTGTGGCCTCGTCGTCGTCGGCCAAAACCAACGCTGAGGCCCTCGCCGCGAGCGACCGCGCCAAGCACCCACGGTCGGCCGACAAAGGCGACAAAGCCACCGCCACACCCGACGCAGCAAGCGCCGCACAGGACGAGCGGGGCAGTGCGGGCGAGGTTGTAGTGGAGGCCGCCGCGAGTGCGGGCAGCACCCTTGCGCAGGCGGCCAAGGACGCCGTTTCGGCCCTGGGCGGCGTATGGCGTTCCGAGACGCAGTTCAGGCTGTCGACGCTGGTGCTGGTGGCGGTGGCGGCGTTTTTGGTCGGCTCGCTCATGCGCTCCATGCTGGCGCCCCTCGACTTTGTACTCGCCCCTACGGGTGCGCCGCAGCCGGCGGCGGATGGCGACTTTACCCAGCTCGTACGCAGTCTGCGTGCAGGTGAGGGCGGCAACAAGATCGACAGGCTCGTGGAGCAGTTGGGCAGCGCCAAGGGCGAGGGGAGGGTGACGCAGATGCAGTGGACGCAGCTGCGGCGGCTTGTGCATGTGCCCGTGCCCGCGCTAGGGTGGGACATTGTACTTGCCGGCGTGCGCAGGCGGGGCTAGCTGGCTCTCTGAATTGCAATGCAAAGCTTTCCACACCGGACAGTTGAATGCGCGGGTATCGTTGATATTTCTTCTGTGAAGCAGGGGGTTGTGGGGGTTCAGGACCGAGATTGGAGGATGATCCATGGAGCAGCGTCGTCGCGGAAGGATTTGGACAAGTTTGCGTGGGCCTCGAATCGACTGATGTGCACAATCACAGTCGCTGCCGAAACGGCAAGATTGTAGAGGGAGTCTGCTGTGTATGCTGTGAGTTTGGCAGCCATGACTGCGGCTACTGCTGCGATGGATGTGAGGAGGAGCGGGGCGAAGAGTTGTTCCCAGGGCCGCATGACGCTGAGCGCAAAGGTGGGGCCAACCTTCATCCATACCCGCCACAGTTTATCTTGCACCGCCATCATTGCTTGAAAGAACGAGGCGCGGTTGACGCGATGAGTTGCTGTAGACATTGTTGGACAGAGCAAGGATGGTGGGCAAAAGGTAGGGGGGTCTGATATACCTCTGCACTTCGTGAGGCGGAATGCACCGCGTACTACGATAGCCCCACGGTTCCTAGTCTTGACCCCTCTGGCCGACCGTACCTAAGCTCCGGAGCGGAATTGCCAAGCCGGCCATACTCGATGCTCGAAAGCTTACGCCTACGACATGCTCAGACTCGAGGCCAGGGTCGGTATGAGTGTGTGCCTCGAAGCAGGGCGACGCTTGGCTTCGGATAAAACTACAAGCTCCACCCCCCATGCTTGCGTCCAGCTCTCGATGTGTACCTACTCTGATGGTGGGAAGGAGTCCGGCGGAAGGACGACATCGAGCTCGTGCACAGTCATACCAGCCTCAAGGTCGCGGTGTCGATATCTTGCCCCTAACCATGTCCTTTCGAGTGCAGGATGTCGTACTTCGTCGATGAACAGCTTCGACCGCTGTGCAACGATACTCGCGCAAATTTGATGATGGCCTCCTTGTCGAGTTGGTCTCGAGGCCGAGTTCGACGCTCTGTCGAGATCTTTCACGCCCCCTATGCTGCCCTTGGACGCCTTGAGGATGCCGCCCGTGCTGGGCCTGTTTGCGAGCCGACTTTCGCACGTGCTTCTGCTAATGCTCGCGCACGAAGCGCGGCAGTCGACTCGCCCAAGGCCAGTTTCGATTCTTTGCTATCTCGACTTTGTGACGCTCATCAGGATGAGGACTTTGCATCGTGTGCAGACTCGGCGATGCTTGGCACGAGTGAGCATGTGTGTGAATGGAATTCGCAAGTCCACATCGGAACCGGAGCCACGCGCAGGAAGCTCTGCGACCCCACGAAGTACCCTATACATCGCAATGCTCAGCGTCATCTGCCATCCTGACCACTCGAGAGCACAGCCTGGTCACAGCTGCGCTCCCCTCCCACCTCTGCAGACGCCGGCTGAGAACGCACAAGACGTGCTTGTAGAGATCTTACGCGCAAAATTACCGCTTTGGCAACGCCCAGGCATAGCAAATAAGTGCCGGGTGGCACCGCAGAATCTGGCGCAGGATGCCGCTTGACAGAGTCGAGGCTCTTAACATGCGCAGAAGAAGCTGTGCTTTCCTCTTTCTGCTGATGAATCATAATGACGAACAGCACCGTGCTCTCGCTGCAGACTGCGCCAATCACCGTCAACATTCGTTGCTGAACGACAATGCATCGCGTTTCCTTCGGCCATGGAGCCGCTGCGGGCAAGTTCTCGCGCAGGACATTATTCTCGATGCCCGAAAGACTGTGCTTGACCATCTACTGCCCAGTACGTACGTGCAGTCTCTCTTTTCTGATGAAGGTGACATTTGCTGCTCAGCGTGAAATGCGCATTACAAAGCTCCCATGTGCCGATGAAGTCTCCTCATCGCTTACGGCGGTTCAAAGCTGTGAGATTGGCATCGTGAGCGTAGCATCGTGGCATGCAAGTTGTGCCCATGCATGCGTGGGCGGCAGGGCGACACCCTGTCCTCCTTCTGTTGCCCTCACTCTTGCACTCTTTCACGCAAGCACTCATTGAATCAAGCTCATCCAAAGCGCCAACTCATGCTTGACCGTCCCGGCAGCGCGCAGGCTGTCACGCAAGAGGCAACCCTTAACGCTCATGAGGACTGCCTGGATCTGGCCTACGCTAGTCGTGACAGTTGTGCACGTCCAGCCTCCTCGTCTCATCTTGCACCCTTCTCACAGCCACCACTTCGACCGCGCGCATCTCACGCGCCTCTTTTCATGCTACATCGCGCCGACCCCATGTAGATTCTCGCACAGAATACCTCACAAGGATCGCCTTGATATGTGTTGCTCGCACCCATCCACACTTCACACACACACACACAC